CCTTTCCTCCTCCCTCCCTCCCTCCCTTCCATCCTCCCTCCCTCCCTCCCTTCCCTCCTCCCTCCCTCCCTCCCTTCCTTCCTTCCTTCCTTCCTCTCCTCCTTTTTTTGAGACAATTTCCCACTCTGCTGCCCAGATTGGAGTGCAGTGGCATGATTATGGCTCACTACAGACTCAACCTTCTGGGCTCAAGCAGTCCTCCCACCTCAGCTTCCTGAGTAGCTGGGACCACAGGCATGCATCAACACACTCTGCTAATTTGCATATTTTTTGTAGAAACAGAATCTTGCCATGTTGCCAAGGGTGGTCTTGAATTCCCGGGCTCAAGTGATCCTTCGACCTTGGCCTCCTAAAGTACTGCAATTATAGGCATGAGCCACTGCTCCCTGACTGTGAGTTTTTCATTTGTTTTCTTTGTTCTGTGTACATTCAATTTCATAACTTGGAGAAGACTTACTCCTCCCTAAACCCTTAGCAAATTCACGTGGATTCCTCATTTCTGCTGTCTGTTGCTGTTCTGCTCCATGTCTCTGGTTTTTCCTCGAATTTTATTAAAAATCCTCTCAGAAAACATTTTATAAGGTTTTTATGCTGTTTGGAGGATTTGAAGCTATGGGGATGGTAACTTTGCACATTGCACAGCTGCCTACCATAAATACCTTCTCTTTTCTTTCATAACCTGTTTTCCTTCACCTCTCTCTCCCACCCACTTCAGAGTAAACCTGTTACCCTCTTCTTCTGGTGCAGAGTTCATTTCCACTGATCTCTCCCTCAGTCTTATGGCTGGACAGCTCCTCCCTCCTCATCTGAAGGTATTTCCAACAAGTGCTGCCTTCCTTCCCTTTCCTAAGAGGGGTGTTTTGGGGAAGAATATTTCTTCCTCTTCTAGTTTCTAGTTTGTTTCTCTCTAGTAGCTTATTTCCCTCTTACGTGAGAGCTTTCACCAGCAGACATCAACTCCCTGACTTACCTTCGCATCCTGGAGAGGTTAAAAACAAACAAAACAGATTCAGGATTTCCACTCATAATTCTCTTTCTGTTGTTTTCAGAACCTCAGCTGGTATTTCTGTAGTTCTATGAATGACAGCAGTTACTCTGGGGCCATCTCCCATCATTAAAAATCTACTCTGAAAAAAAAAAAAAAAAGGTTGGGTGTGGTGGCTCACGCTTGTAATCCAAGCACTTTGGAGGCCAAGGTGGGCAGATCACCTGAGGTTGGGAGTTCAAGACCAGCCTGACCAACATGGTGAAACCTCGTATTTAAAAAAAAGGAAAAAAAACATTTCATTTTAGATTCTGCACATGGGAAGATTTATTACATGGGTATTTTGCATGCTAGTGGGAATTTAGGCTGCTAGTGTATGCATTCCCTAAATCGTAAACATTTTACCTAATGGGTAATTTTTCAACCATCACCTCATCACCTTCACTGCTTTTGGAGTCCCCAGTGTAAATTATTTGCATCCTGATATCTCTGCTTGCCCATAGTTTAGCTCCCACTTATAAGTGAGAATATGTGGTATTGGGTTTTCTGTTTCTGGGTTAGTTCACTTAGAATAATGACCACCAGCTGGACTCAAGTTGCTGCCAAGAACATGATTTTATTCTTCTTTATGGCTGTATAGTATTCCACAGTGAATCTATCCCACATTTTCTTTATCCAGTCATCTATTGATTGACACTTATGTTGGTTCCATGACTTTGCTACTGTGAATAATGCTGTGATGAACATCTGAGTGCAGCTGTCATTTTAACACAATGATATGTTTGCCTTTGGGTACATACCAGTAGTGAGATTGCTGGGTCACACAGTAGTTCTGACCCATGGGAGGGCAGAAGAGATCAGAGGGAGGGAGGGGAGTTGGGGTTTTCCCTGGGTTATTTGGGATGGCTGCCTCTTTTGGCGAAAGGCCAAAGATCCTATCAAAGGCCCTGTCCCCTACCATGTGACTGACCCTGGGACTTTGCACTATTCTTGTGGATTTCCTACACTCTGGTCACCCTTTTATAATTAATATCTTCATTAAGATATTATGTGTAAAATAATAATATTCTCTCCTTGAATTGTCCATTTTAGGTGAGCCATCTCTTTTTTTTTTCTTTTTCTTTTTCTTTTTTTTTTTGAGACAGAGTTTCGCTGTTGTTACCCAGACTGGAGTGCAATGGCGTGATCTTGGCTCACCGCAACCTCCGCCTTCTGGGTTCAGGCAATTCTCCTGCCTCAGTCTCCCAAGTAGCTGGGACTAGAGGTGAGCTATCTCTTTATTGCAAGAGCTCTGATTGACACAATAACAAATTCAAGTTTGTTACAGTTTCCTTCTCTAATTTATTTTAGATTCAGGAGGTGCATATGTAGGTCTGTTCCATACATACATGTGTGATTCTAAGGTCTGGGCTTGTATTGAACCCATGACACAAATAGCAAACATGGTACCCAATAGTTAAGTTTCGATCTTCCCCCTTCTCCTTGCCCACCTGGCAGTCCCGAGGGTCTGTTCCCATCTTTACATCCATGTATACCCAATGTTTCACTCCCACTTAGAAGTCAAAGCCAGGTGCATTTGGCCTTCTGTTTCTGCATTAATTCACTTAAGAAAATGGCCTCCAGTGGCATCCATGTTCCTGCAAGGGACAGGATTTCATTCCTTTTTCACGGCTGTTCAGAAGTCTCTGATACATATATATGCACTAACCTCTGCAAAGAATTTATGACTAAGTCCTCAGAGGCAAGCACAACAATAACAAGAATTGACAATTGGGACCTGATTACACGAAAGGGCCTCCGCACAGCAAGAGAAACTATCAATAGGGAAACAGACAACCTACAGAACGGGAGAAAATATTGAAAATGATGCATTCAACCAAGGCCTAATGTCCAGAATCTATGAGGAACTTAAACAGAGTAACAAGAAAGGAACCAAACAAGCCTATAGAAAAATGGGCAACGTGAACAGACATTTCTCAAAAGAAGACATAATAGGAGTGGTCAACAAACATACGGAAAAAAAGATGCCCCACATCTCTAATCGCCAAAGAAATGCCAATCAAAGCCTTGTGTAATTTCTAGCCAAAGGAGGGGGCCTTGTGTAATTTGTGGCTGTTAAGAGATGGGTCCAGGCCGGGCGCGGTGGCTCACACCTGTAATCCCAGCACTTTGGGAGGCCGAGGTGGGTGGATCACGAGGTCAAGAGATCGAGACCATCCTGATCAACATGGTGAAACCCCGTCTCTACTAAAACTACAAAAACTTAGCTGGGCATGGTGGTGCGTGCCTGTAACCCCAGCTACTCAGGAGGCTGAGGCAGGAGAATTGCTTGATCCCAGGAGTCGGAGGTTGCGGTGAGCCGAGATCGCGCCATTGCACTCCAGCCTGGGTAACAAGAGCGAAACTCCATCTCAAAAAAAAAAAAGAGAGAGATGGGTCCACTCCGCAACTCACCAGCTCAGGCACATGATGACTTGGTGCTCACTGGAGTCTCTGACAAGCAGCATGGGGGTCACCCAGAGCTCGTTACAAGTGTAGAGTTGCAGAGCCCAGCCCAGCTGAACCGGGGTCTGAATTAAATGCAAACTCCAGGTTCCTTGGCACAAACTCTGCTTATTCCCCTTGTTTTCCGCAACCAAGGGTGGAATTCCTCTTCTCCATCTCTTGCCATATCATTTCGATCTTAAAGTTATCCTGGGGAAGGGGACAGGGGCTATGGGAGGATTTCCTCGGAGGCAATCAGATTGTCACCACTCCATGAAGCAGTGCTAGCAGCAGGCATGGGGAAGCAGGTGAGGGCCAGAAGGTCTTCAGGCAAGAACTGTGCTTCGGGACACCTTCTCACACCCTCCCAACAGCTGCTTCCCAGACAGCCTCCACCCAGGCCGCCCTTCTACACTAAGCCCTCTTCTCTCACCACAGCCCCTCAGACCTACCCAGGAAGTGCCTTTACAGCCCAGAACTTAAGCTGAAGAGAGCCCAGTTCTCTCTTCTCTGATGGCCGGGAAGACCAGAAAGCTACAAACAAAAGCAAAACCTACAGTTATGCCTGTTTGCTGATTCTGGGGGAGGATGGGAAATCTCTGGTCTCTCCAGGGGAAGTCTTTGCCCTGACAGGCTACCTTGTAATGCCAAGTGGCTCCCAGGGCAGCAAGGGAGAACCAGGACAGTTGGTTTCTCCATCGGAACAGGTTTTATGCCATGCCCTGAAGATCCCTTCCCAAACACCTCCCCCTCCACTAGGAATTGGTGGTTTTCTTGGTTCTAGTTTCCCACCTAAATGAATGTTTTCTGTTGGTAAACAGTGACCTCATGGTGCTGCTTCTGTTTCTTTTGAAAGCATTTGCTGAGCATCTGCTATGAACTGGGTCTTCTGAGAGGTGGAGTAGAGCGACAGAGACATGGCAGGCAATTTCTGAGCCCAGGAGTGTGTGGGGCTCACAGGAATGGCAGCCATGGTGCAGCTAAAACCAGCTGGCTAGGGGATTTGAAGATGCGATCGATGCCCTGCCTAGATCCCCTTGGTGCTTCCTGTATATGTCCCTCGTATCTTTCTGTGAGTGGCTGTCACTCTCCAAGACCTGAAGACTTTCTCCTGCCTCACAAGCAGGGTAAGTTGGGAATTCAGGACATTGGCACCCTGGAGAGTACCCTCAATGATAACCAATAGGATTGGAAGAGAAACACCTCCCATCCTTGCCCCTGCTGTAGGACCATCCTGAAGACCGTGTCACACCATTTCCCAAAGGTCCCCTGAGGGGATGGGGCCATGGCTGCCCGAGGCCATACCATCCCCGAATGTGCCCTGCGCTGGCTGCCTTCCATCCTGTCCCATACCCCACTCATCTGCAAATGCTGCCTGAGATTGTCTTTCTAATATTCCCCTTGCACTCAAGGGACACCTTATCTCCGGGTCTGCTTCTGCGGAGCTCAGACTAAGACAACGGACCATTAACCCAGAAAATCGGAGACAGATCTCAGTTAATTTAGAAAGTTTATTTTGTGAAGGTTGAGGACACGCCCGTGACACAGGCTCTCGAAGTCCTAAGAACATGGGCCCAAGGTGGTCAGGGCACAGCTTAGTTTCATGCATTTTAGGGAGACATGAGACAACAATCAATATATGTGAAAAGTACATTGGTTCAGCCTGGAAAGGTGGGACACTTAGAACAAAGTCAGGAAGACTCGAAGCAGGGAGCAGGCTTCCAGGTCACAGATATGTGACACAAATGGTTGCATTCTTTTGAGTTTCTGATTAGCCTTTTCAAAGGAGGCAAATCACGTATGCAGCTAGGTCAGGGAAACAGAGGGGTGACTTTTTTGTTTGTTTGTTTGTTTGTTTGTTTTGGACAGGAAGTAAGTTTATTGGTTCATATTACAAGGGGGCAGCAGAGTGGAAGCCCTCTGAGTGCAGGGCCTGCCACTTGTCCAGAGGGCCATGATTGGGGATGTACTTAACCCCACAGCCACCTGGGATGAGCCACTTCTCAGGGACCATGTCTTCAAATTCATCAGTATTGAACTTGGTGAAGCCTCACTTCTTTGAGATGTGGATCTTCTGGCAGCCAGGGAACTTGAACTTGGCCCTGTGCAGGGCCTCAGTCACATGTTCCTTGTTCTGCAGTTTGGTGCGGATGGACACGATCACTTGGCCAATGTGAACTCTGGCCACAGTGCCCTGGGGTTTTCCAAAGGCACCTCGCATGCCTGTTTGGAGCCTGTCAGCCCCAGCACAGGACAACATCTTGTTGATGCAGATGACGTGGAAGGGGTGGAGCCGCACTCGGATATGAAAGCCGTCTTTGCCACAACTTTTCACCGTGTACTTATTGGGACAAATTTGGGTAGCCTCCAGGGCTTCAGAGGAGAGCTGCTCATATTCATCTGATACCATGTGGCCACAGAGTGGAAACTCATCCACTTTTGCCTTCTTCCACCCCAGGTCAAAGATGGGAATCTTGGCATCAGGGACACCTCGGCAGAAGTGAGACTTTGGATATGGTTTGTTCTTACAATATCCATAACAATGGGCAGGGCGGCAGCCAATGGTGACACCAAGATTTTCAGTGGCGTGCGGAAGGAAAAGAAGACCAGAGGGGTGACTTTGAGTAGAATGGGAGGCAGGTTTGGCCCTCAGTAGCTCCCAGTCTGACTTTTTCCTTAAGCTTAGTGATTTGGGGGTCTCAAGATTGACTTTCCTATTACAAGAGACATCGGTGGTGCCTGTGGGTGGGAGAGAGAAACACAGCTTGTTGGAGTCTGGAAACAGTTGAAGGCCAGAAAACATTTTTTAGAAATGACGTTATCGCAGCCATTTTTAAGAATTCTTGTTGATAAGATCGTTGTTAAGACCGTGATGAAAGAATGCTTAAGGAATTGATGTGAAAGTAAAACTGATACTGAGGAAAAACAGGCCAAAGAGACAGCTTCCTTCTGCGTTCATACCCCAGCATCCATCCGGGAGATTTCTCCTTTGCCCTGTCAAAGGCCCTTTCTCTTGCCTCTATACCTTACTTAGCTCCTCCCCTGGGGAGGAGTTCTCGAGAGGCTGTCCTAGCAACATGGTAGAAGTAAACGATCTCAAAGAAGAGATCTGCAGGTAAGAAGGAAATTGAAAGTGATTCCATTTTACTGCTTGACCTAGTGAGAAAAACAGCTGGTGGGTGTGTTGTTGTGTAAACCAAAACGTATCTAAGGCAGATCTTAATCAATTTAGAGTTTTACTTTGCCAAGCTTAAGAACGATGGCTTGTGACCCAGTCTCAGGAGATCCTGAGAACATGTGTCCAAGGTGATTGTGTTACAGTTTGATTTTATGAATTTTAGGAAGACAGCAGATGTAGGCAAAAATGGTATACATTGGTTTGACCCAGAAAGGCAGCACATCTTGAACCCAGGGGATTCTAGGTCATAGATGAATTCAAAGATACTTTTTGATTGACAGTAAGTTGAAAGGGTTACCTTATGCCTGAAAAGCTTGAAGTCAGCCTTAACACTAAAAGGAATGTAAATTGCCCTACCATGAAGACACATGCATGTGTATATTCATTATAGCACTACTCACAGTAGCAATGACATAGCATCAACCTAGAGGCCCGTCAACAGTGGACTGGACATATGAATTAGGAATTCTATACAGTCACAAAAAAGAACAAGATCATGTCTTTTATAGCAACATGAATAGAACTGGAGGCCATTCTCTTAAGTGGATTAATAGAGAAACAGAAAACCAAATATCACAGGTTCCCACTTAAAAGTGGGAGGGAAACATTCAGTACACATGAACACAAAGAAGGGAACAGGTAACAATGGGGCCTATTTGAGGGTTGAGGGTGGGAGGAGGCTGAGGATTGAAAAATTACCTATCTGGTGTGATGCTGATAACCTGGGGGACAATATTTTCTATACACCAGACCCCTGCAATTTACCCAGTAACGAGCCTGCACATGTACCCTTTGAACCTAAAGTAAAAGTTGGAAAGAAAAAAACAAAGAAACCAAAAAAGTGTTCGAGTTTAGATAGATTGTGGAAGCCAAGGTACTTACAGTGTAAATGAAACCTCCAGGTAGCAGGCTTCAGAGACAACAGATGGCAAAAGATGTCAGGCCCAGCACGGGGGCTCAGGGCTGTAATCCCAGCACTTTGGGAGGCTGGGGTGGGTGGATCACTTGAGGTCAGGAGTTACAGACCAGCCTGTCCAACATGGTGAAACAATGACTCTACTAAAAATACAAAAATTAGCCAGGCCTGGTGGTGGGCTCCTGTAATTCCAGCTACTCAGAAGGCTGAGGCAGGAGAATGGCTTGAACTTGGGAGGTGGAAGTTGCAGTGTGCTGAGATAGTGCCACTGCCCTCCCGCCTAGAGGACAGAGCAAGACTCCACCTGAAGAAAAAAAAAGAAAGTTAGACTCTCTGGAAAAGACCTAGTAAGGGAAGGAGATTGTCTACAGAATGCAAAATACAAGGGAAATCTTTGCAGGGTCATTTCAAAATATGTTAAAGAAATATATTTAGAAGTCAGGCATGGTGGCTCGTGTCTGTAATCCCAGCACTTTGGGAGGCCGAGGCGGGTGGATCATGAGGTTAGGAGTTTGACACCAGCCTGGCCAATATGGTGAAACCCCATCTTTACTAAGAGTACAAAAATTAGCTGGGCGTGGTGGCAGGCGTCTGTAGTCCCAGCTACTTGGGAGGCTGAGGCAGGAGAATCACTTGAACCCAGGAAGCAGAGGTTGCAGTGAGCCGAGATCATACCACTGCACTCCAGCCTGGGCAACAGTGAGATTCCATCTCAAAAAAGAAAGAAAGAAAGAAATATATTTAGAGATAAAATACTTTGATTTTTTTCAAAGTAGTGTCTGCTGTTTTGTAATGCTCTACATGAGTCAGGTTGGAATTTGATGTCTTATTGCTACAAAGGGTCTGTGTTGTCAGTCTTATGATTTCTGTTCTAATGTTAATGCTGACCAGTTGTACCTAAACTCCAAAGGAAGGCATGGGTGACTCTTCCTTCACACCATCGCCTGAACTAGGTTTTTTGGATTTCTTTGGGATTTCCTTAGCCAAGAGGGTGTCCATTCAGTCAGTTGGAGATCTTAGAATCATAGTTGTGTTTATCATTGGTCATGTATCAGAGGTAGGGAGAAAACCCAACCCTGAGGAGCCTGCCTCAGCAACTATAAACTTTGTTTTCTAGAACGGAATTATAGACTCTTAGAATGAAGAAACACAGCTCACCTAACTTAATGTTTTAGCACTGAGGATTACCCCCTAGGCCTTGGGAAGACATGCAGCGGTCAGCCATTAATAAACGTAGCAGGTTTTGTGCTTGTAACCATTTCACAAATGCCATCAAGAGCCCCCTGTGTCCAGCATTCCCGGTAATCCACTTAGTGTTTCAGAGAAGGACCATGTCAGCTGCAGGACCGTGTCTGCTGCATCCTTGCCCTCTCATGATTTTGGTGGCTGTGGACAGGGCTGCCTCGCTTTACCCAGCCCAGCTGTCCCACAGACTGCAGCTGACAATTCCCGGAGGCAGACTAATGGAGGCACATGCAAGATCCCAGAGAGCCCAGAGAGAGTGACTGAGAACAAGGGAAATGCCAATTTGTCACAGCGGTTGGCATCTGAAAAGAGAAACTTATGGCTTTGGTTGGAGAAAATGGATTTTCCAGTTTGACTGAACTCCATTTTCTAGGGTTAGAGCCACTAGTTCTGTTTGAATCTGGTATGTTGCTGCCCGATACCCTGAGAGGCATGAACTGGCCCGAGAAAAATCATGTTAGTTCTTTACTAGTCTTACAGCTTCACTAGAAGTTAGCAATGCTGATGTCACCCCGGGGAATGGTGCTGTCACGGAGTGTCTCCCATGCCTGACCCGTATCTACTCCAGTCTCAAAGCACATCTGTTGTGCCGAGACCACTCGGTCATGGAGACCCCAACCCAGACAGCGCTGAAGGAATTAAGAAACAGACACAGAGAGAGCGGAAAGGTATAGGACAGACAGGGGGCCTCAGCACCCCCAGCTGAGAGCCTCAAACAGACTCTGACCCACACATTTATTGACAGTGAGCAAGTGGTAATTATCACTTAACTAAAAGTGTTCTTTGCAGGGAACAAAGCATTTTTTATTAGTGGCAAGAAACAGGCTCTGGCGCTTTTACTGCAGCTGGAACATGTCATGTTAAGACACAGGACGCTCGTGCTTTGCTTAGGGTTCAGAAGCCCCCCAAGAGCTGTCTTCAACCCAAGGGCAAGTTAGGTCTTTTCTTCCCTGGCTCCAGTAAACCAAAACATCTAGCAACGTGTGTCACTGCCATCACAAGGATGTCACAGTGCTATAGATATTCTGTTTATGGCCAGTTTCTTCAAGGCTTGTCTATGCCAGATGTAGGGTGTGCTCTCAAATGCTCCCAACACTGTTGTGTTTCTGAATGCAACGTTGAGAGCTGGTGTGAAATGGCACATTTGTCCTAAAATGGCTTGAAAACTATGTATGTTGTTGGGAGGATCAAGATGGTACTGGAAAGACCAGAAATGTGCTGATTTTTAAGATACAACTGAACAGTTTTACTATGAATGGAGGCTTGACCCAGCCGCCTTCATTCATCTGAACTGGGTCCATCTCTGACCCAGGCTGAGAAATGGTCTGGCAGAACGCCCTGAGGCAGGTGCACCTGGTGACACACACCCTGGTACCTTTGTCCACCTCCCCTCAGCCCACTTCCAGTGAGAGCTGGGGCCATGGCAGACAGCTCCACCCAGACTCAGGCTCTCCTCTGGTGATGGCCACCAACCTGGAGCTTGTGCTGTGTGCCTCGATTTCCAACTCAGCATTTCTGTGATGATACAGCCTGAAAGTGGGGTTTCAGGAACTATTGTCTCAAGTAGCAGCTCTCAGCAATGAGGGATGGGGACCAGAAAAAAAGCCCACACTGCCTGTCCTGAGGTTATAATTCTGGGAGCCATTCTGCATGCTTCTCAAGAAGCGCATCCTTATATTGATCTATTTTCTTCCAATCACTCTCTCAGCTCCCACACTCCTGCTTCTTGAGATCCCCTCCCAAACAAAATACCCACTCCTACTTTCTTTTCTCAGGCTCTCCCTTTGATGAAATTCCTCAGGGCTGAATATTTAATTTTAAACACCTCTGGCAACAAAACTTTCTCTGAATTGAGGGAATTGACTGTCCCATTTGCCATTCAGAGATAGCGCTATCTCCCAGTGTATTTTCATAGTTCAAAAGAGGTTTTATTTCTTACAGGGCAATGAGTAGCAAAGAATTCTGAGAACCTAATCAACTAGAATTTGCCAGGTTTTTGTCAAGTAGTTTGGGGACTACAAAGAAATTTCCATATTACAACACAGGAGAGGTAAATGTAGCATAAATACAAGACACAAAAATAAGTGAAAAGATAAACCTAAATGGTATCGGAGGAAGAGCTACAGTCCTGTCTGTCTTGCATTTGCTCTCCCTTCTGCTGGTAAAAGTCCTGCCATTTCCCTTTGCAGAACCTACCCTGATCCATGCTTTATTTTGTGACCAGCTTGCCTGGTTCCACCCCTGACTCCTGAGGGGATGGCCTGACCCAAGGATGGCCACTTAGTTTATTCCACCTCCCGGTCACAGTGCTTATTAAATCAAGGATGTCTATGTGGCTCAGGCTGGTCCGATTATATTTAGTTCTGGGATTTTAGTTGGGCATTTTGAATAGCACAGGTATTTTTCATCTGGAGTCACTGAACTGGTAGAAATTGAACTTTGAAGCTGTTGGTGACATTTTTTGCAGCCG